GTAAGTAAGTAAGTAAGTAAGTAAGTAAGTAAGTAAGTAAAGATTTATTTCTATTGCGCCTTTCACAGAAATAAATTCACAAGGTGCTGTTCATTAAAAGGGACAGTAAGCCAAACTTCAACATTTGCATTAAGATTTTATCAGGAAAGTTGCAACTTACAGTTCACAGAGATGCTAACTGGATCACTCAGGACATTATTGAGAGGATTGGACACATGACAGCTGTATGGTCCTTCATCATATCTGGTCACATTGATTATAGTCAGAGTGGATCCTCCATCAGCTGTGTTGATCTGAACTCTGTCACTGGCTGTAAGCTCAGAGCTGCTGTTCTTCCAGAGGAAGGAGAGAGAAGATCCAGAGGAGGAGCAGTACAAACGAGCAGAACTGTTGAACTCAACCAGGTCTGCAGTTGGTGGAGTTACTTTTGTATTAGAGACTGGTGCTGTGGGTAAAAAAAAGGCTTTAATCATGTCTGCTGTGCTTCAATTCAGTAAAAGATTGGAAACATGCTATGTGGGCCACAACACACATGCTTTAGTAGAAAGAAAGAAATTGTTCTTCAATACTTCAGCTTACTTTACTTACAATACTTTAGCTCAGTCTATTGACTGAGCTAAAATTTGATGTACCAGCAATATGCGATAATGATGTCAAACACACATACAAAGTTCTACACATTGTGTAGCATTTTATTAAAACTTAAGTAATCACTGCAGTTAAAGCTGTGGCTGCCGCATCTGGTTAACATTACAAAAAAGTTACTATAAACCAGTCAGTTGTTTTTTTTAAAGATATTAAGGTAAATTTGATTTGGTAGTTACAGAGAGTCATCTCCATTATATTATTTAAGCTTGAGGTGGGCAGTCTTGGTCCTGGAGGGCTACTATCCTACATGTTTTACATGTTTCTTTGCTCCATCGCACCTGATCTGAATTAATGGGTGATTACCAAACTTCTGTAAAACATATAAAAGGTAATCCAATCATTGAATCAGGTGTGTTGGTACTGTGAAACAAGTCTACCAAGCAGGATAGTGGCCCTTGAGGACCACTATTGTGGATTGTGCACTCCTAAACACTATAACACAAGTTGTGAGGTTTCACAATCTAGCATTAGATGCTGCATAAGATCATTTCAAAGGTCTGACCAAAGTAGCTACGCCCACTTCATTTCTCACCATAACATGAAAGTGACACAAATTCCTTCAAGAACTGTTAGATCTTTAATTTATCTTCCTCTTGAGTTCTGGGATGATGAACATCCTAGAATATGACCTGGCAGCCTGTYTGTGGTGTATCTCGCTTCTAAACAATTATATGTTGCAAGAGGTTTGGGCCTTACAAAAAATACTTTGTCAATTGCCAAAGGGCAGTTAAATTTTAATACAAAACAGATTCCAAAAAAGTTGGGACACAAAACAAATTGTGAATAAAAACTGAWSGCAATGATGTGGAGTTACCAATGTCTAACATTTTATTCAGAAAAGAACACAAACCACAGATCAAAAGTTTAAACTGAGAGAATCTATCATTTTAAGGTAAAATATGTTGTTTCAAAATTTCATGGTGTCAACAAATCCCCAAAAAGTTGGGACAAGTAGCAATAAGTGGCTGGAAAAAGGAAATGAGCATATAAGGAACAGCTGGAAGACCAATTAACACTAATTAGGTCAAATGACAACATGTTTGGGTATAAAAAGAGCTTCTCAGAGTCAGTGTCTCTCTGAAGCCAAGATAGTGAGGATCACCAATTCAACCATTGTTGCGCAGAAAGGTAGTGCAGCAATACCAGAATGATGTTACCAAGTGTAAAATAGCAAAGACTTTTAAGTTATCATCATTAACTGTGCATAACCTGATCAAAAGATTCCAAGAATCTGGAACAATTGCTGTGCGTAAGGGTTAAGGCCGTAAAACTCTACAGGATGCTCACGATCTCCGGGCCCTTCAACGTCACTGCACCTCAAACAGGAATGCCACTTTCAAGGAAATAACAGAATGGGCTCAGGAATACTCCCAGAAAGCATTATCAGTGAACACAATCCACCGTGTCATCCGCCGTTGCCAGCTGAAACTTTGCAGTGCAAAGAGGAAGASATTTCTAAGCAAGCTCCACAAGCTCAGACGTTTGCACTGGGCCAGGGGTCTTTTAAAATGGAGTGAGGCAAAATGGAAGWCTGTTCTGTGGTCAGATGAGTCACGATTTGAAGTTCTTTATGGAACACTGGGACACCATGACATCTGGACCAAAGAGGACAAGGATAACCCAGGTTGTTATCAATGCTCTGTTCAGAAGCCTGYATCACTGATGGTCTGTGGTTGCATGAGTGCTTGTGGCATGGGCAGCTTGTATGTTTGGAAAGGCACCATTAATGCAGAGAACTATGTTCAAGTTCTAGAACAACATCCCATCTAGACGTCATCTCTTTCAGGGAAGACCCTGCATTTTTCAACAAGATAATACCAGACCACATTCTGCAKCAATCACAACATCATGGCCACGTAGGAGAAGGATCCGGGTACTGAAATGGCCAGCCTGCAGTCCAGATCTTTCACCTACAGAGAACATTTGGCGCATCATAAAGAAGAAGGTGCAACAAAGAAGGCCCAAGACGATTGAACAGTTACATGAATGGGAGAGCATTCCTATTTCTAAACTTGAGAAACTGGTGTCCTCTGTCCCTAAAAGTCTGTTGAGTGTTGCGGGTGGTGGGGGATGCCACACAGTGGTAAAAAATGGCCTTTTCCCGACTTTTTTGGGATTTGTTGACGCCATGAAATTTTGAAACAACATATTTTTTCCCTTAAAATGATATATTCTCTCAGTTTATACTTTCGATCTGTGATTTGTGTTCTTTTCTGAATAAAATATTAGATGTTGGTACCTCCACATCATTGCGTTCAGTTTTTATTCACAATTTGTTTTGTGTCCTAACTTTTTTGCAATCCGGTTTGTAGTTATATAATAATCAAACTGGTTTACAAGTCCTTTTCAAAATCAACTAAAACAAAAAAAAAATCTCTGTTAACACAGAAGTCAGATATACAAATTTGTACTAATTTGAGCAACAATTCGTTCAAATTTAGAGGAACCTTTTTATTTTATTTTTCACTGTCCCATTGAGAAATATAAAAGTCATTTTATTTATTTATTTTGAAGCCAATCAAATATCATTTTGTGAATAAAAGTTGTAAAATTGTTTTKTATGTTAAAATGTAGATTATAGACATTTCACAACTGCACTTTTTATTTTGAATCTACGTAAGTTTTCAGACTTACCAAGAACCGACACAGATAAACGCTGAGATGTTTGATATCTCAGAGTTTTGCTGTTAAAGGCCTGACAGACGTAGTTTCCACTCTGACTTGTCTGAACATTCATCAGTCTGAGTT